GAGAGAGAGAGAGAGAGAGAGAGAGAGAGAGAGAGAGAGAGAGAGAGCGGAGCACTGCGCTGTCAATTCATTAGCTTTTCTCAACAGGAACGGTCTATATTTTCAAGGCAAATTAGAGACAATCAAGTCAGGCAGCAGACTTCAGCTCTAACTCCCGTCTTGCCTCGATTGTTTTCTAGGTTCTTCTCTCAATAGGAAAATGCATTTGCAGTTATTAAATTAGGCGGCGAATGAATCTGCATTATAAACCGTTGATACACCCAAGCTACACAGCTGGAAACTGTTGTTGTTTTACTACAGCCAACATGAAATGATGGGGGAACCAATCACAATGTCAATGGCCTCTTGAGATTGTTCCAGACTTCACACATGATAGTCATGTAATAAATGTTGTCTCCTTTTTAGAAAGGGAAAGTTTTGTTTTTATTGTGTATTTAAATGTAAATTTTAATAATTCAAAATAAAGGGTGACAAAATGCATGTTCTCCCTGTCATTAAGGACAGGCCACGTTGGGCCCACCTTCAACACCGTGGGTTAAACAGCGCCTGGGTGAGGTGGGAAAACAGACACATCTGTGCATTGCTTACCGCACTTAATGAAGTAGACAATGTTAGCTACGATGAACCAGGTGTTGCCTCAGCATACTGCCAGTGATAAAACATATTTCGATATTGTAAAAAAAAAAATGAATCTCTGGCCACATAATAGATGACAACACGACTCTATTTTTGTCTTTATTGGCTTCGTGGTCTTGGTGGAACGTCTTGCTATTTTCATGTGTTAATCACAGCATCTGATTTCATTCCATCTTTTCTTTGTTCCGTTCAGGTTTTTTTCTGGTGGGTAATAGTGGGTGCTGTTCTTAAAAATACAGAAAGCTTATGTGGGAAGTGTTGCACAGAAATGCCAACCTATTGTTCTGCATCGACTTGATGAAACCTTCACTAGTCTCTGTAACCTCTGCGTTCCTGTTTCTGGACATTCACCTATCTGAACCAGCTACCACCAGCCAGTACACAATGTCTTCTCCACCTCATCCTCCATCTACTGACTACAGGAGGGAGCTGAGCCTTTTCTATAGAAATCATTACAATATAGGAGATGAGGTCGGGATCCTGCAGTGTGTCACCGCAATCCTATCCAGTGTCCAGTGTGTGTTCACTTGCCTTTGTTAATTTGTAGTGATTGGTGGTATCTCTATTGTATCACTTGTGTTTGCATCACAGAGGAGTACACATAAACCAAGGACTGATAGTCAGTACTGAAGTTCAGTACTATGAATCCGCCCCCTTTCTCCTGGGAATGGTCCCCTCTGAGAAGTGTAAGTGCCTTCTCCTGTGTGTTAAGGGATGCTTATGAAGGCACGTGCAACTCAAACAGCAGCGAACACAAATTACTTCTGCGAGCGCTTTCACATCACTCCGCGCAGAATATCTCTGAAAACCATTGCGCCACTAAATTGAATTGGTTATCGTCTTCGTCTTTGGATTGACCGGATATCACTCCTGACGCGGACACTAGGTGGCGGTATGAAGGTGGTTTTCAATCTGCCGCTGAACACTATTCCACTACATCTTAGAGGTAAATATTGTACTTTTTATGCGAGCGAGCAGGGGAAAGCTTTGCGAGCAGAAGAGCAGTGATAGAAGTCGTGCACCTCGCCCCTCAAAGCAGGGTTTTCTCCTCGCGGGCTTCAATTTTGCTTGCGCGAGAGATGCGAAAGCACTCGCAAAAGTAATTTGCGTGTTTGAGTTGCACGCGCGGGACCTCTACACACCATGTGCGTGGATATTGATTTGTGCTCACAGATTTTGATATTGATTTTCCTTCATAATGTTGCTCTTATGGAATGACTCACTCTGTGTTTCTTATGAGATCTGCAACCGAAAAGCATTCAGGTGGAGCGGCAAAGTTCAATATCAAAAGTATTGTCTTTGCAAGTTCAGGTCATTGATGTCACTTAGCAGTCATATGAGAGTTATTGGAATATCGTAAACAGAGGTGTGTAGAGTCACTGATTATGCCATTTTGATAAACAGAGAAGTCCAAGTGTATTTCTTATCATATATTTATGAAAAATATGAATGCATATGCATTTCAATACATAGTCCTACAGCGACCAAGCAGCTAAGGGCAGATCAATTATTTGTTCACCTCAGATTTCCTGAGGCTTTAAAGGTGTGGTGCATTGGGATCAGGAGCATGTTGTATTACAGCTGTCAAACTGATTCTTCATTACTTGCGGTTCCAGTGTGAGCCCTGACACCCTAAAACCCCAATCAGTTCCATTCTGTGGCATCACAATCCTTAAGATACCAGGGTGCTCATGCAGCTTCCATCTGGCCACTCACGTACTTGGTAACAGCAGTTTTAGAATTCTCCTATTTTTAAAGCACCACCCGGATCATGTGACTAAACAAGGCCATCTCCCGGCATCCACTCAAGACAGCCGCAAAGGGAGATATATACAGTAAACCATGAAAATCAGCTAATTAGGTAGTGGAATTCTTATGGCTATGGTTATGGTTACCCATCACTTACTTGCCTACTTACTCATCCATAAAAGAGAAAATGGGCATTCCATTGAAGTCCACTTTGTCATCACCTGTAAGTCCAAACTGCCGTCGCCTTCAGTTCCAGTTTTGTCCCCCAACTACAACTACAGAGTTCTCTCTGTGGCTTACTACATGTTCGGCTTGCTTTGAAGTCACTTGTCTCATTTGCAAATGAGTGACAATGAGAACCATTGGGACTCAATCATATGGTCTGGTAAAGTGAAACAATAAGCTGTCATAAATATTAAATTGAATGTATGATGAACTTAAAAGAAATGTTTAATGTAAGTATACGACAATTGAATCCATTCAACAAGATGTCATTTATTACTTATTATTTTTAGCTGCTGCTCCTGCCGTTGTCATTTTAATATGTATTTCTTCAAACTTATTCTTAAAGAGTGTATATGTGCAAGACTGTTGTCGTACACACACGAGTTGCTAGATGTACATCCACCTACACAACATGGTTTAGTGGGCCCCATAATAAGTTATTCCTCAGTATACGTACTGTAGTGTGTCATAGCATACAACACCATAGTACACAGACCATCAGCACCTACCCTGAAATCCCAAAATAGACTTCAGCGTACAGTATATTTGCCTCCCTCCCACACAGATCTTTTGATTATAAAGTACAGCATAACAACACACACACACACACACACACGTATGCAGAAAAGCATTCCTGGATTGCCTGTCTGGCTCTCTTTCACATACACACACACACAAACAAATGCACAGCCTGCCCGCCGTTCTGTCTCTCTCACTGAAACACATACACATAAATTATATGAAGGGTTTTCTTCAAAAGCATTATATAGAGATCATTACATTATAATATGGTCTTGACAAAAACAGTTAGTAATGGCTATAAATGTAGCCTATTCTAAGTTCTGTTTTTCTAATTTGTATTCATTCAATTCATTTTAACTTCAAAATACAACTCTTCATACACAGTCATGCGCATAGACATACACACACACATATATATATATATATATATATATATATATATATATATATATATACATATATAGTCGTCCATACCTCGACAAATCGGAGCAGGGAAGTCCCAAACGGCGGTGTTTCCAGCATTGGTAATGCAGGTGAGTGTTGCATGGCCGTCTAAGACGTAACCAGGGACACAGCTGTACTGCACATGGTCTCCCACAGCAAAGCGGCCGGCACCACTTAGCACTGCTTTAGGTGGGACACCGGGGTTTCCACAGGATGTGCTGTGGAGTTCTGCAGAGGAAGAGGAAAAAATGAGTCAGGGAGAAGGATTAAGGATTTTTCAATTTCTTTCTTGAATTAATTGCACTAAACTGTTTAACTGTGGATTTGACCCCATCTCGCCCGGGAACCAACCATATAATATACCCAGCCACTGCTCAGTGATGCGTCCGATCGAGAGACTGCGCTGGGGCACTTACAGCCCCCAAGTCCGCACACTCTACCATTATAAACACTGTATCACACAGACTTTCATTGTGATGATGCAGATTAAATACCTACACAGTGTCACAGCCTGTTCTAAAATCTTACCCCAAGCACAAATATGGGAAGGCCCTTAAGCCTATAGTTATATGTAATACATATTGTCAAGCATGATCATGACTGTGAAACGATATTTTGACTGCACTCTCGGTTGAAGCAAACTAAGCTACACCCCAGAGAAAGGGAGGGAGACAATATCAGAGTGTTTTATGGTTAATCACATCATTCCCTCAAGATACATTTACAGTTCTGTGCCTAAGACGTATGCACAAGTGTGCATATAAACATCCGCACATACAAACGCACACACACACACACACACACTCAGGAGAGAGATGGAGAGAGACAGGGAGAGAGGCATGGAAGCCATAAACCAGGAAGTAGATGGGAGAACAGGGACTAACTACGGTCTTATTGTTTGAACTTGATTGATACAACTATGAAACTGTTCAGACAGATAGGGGGTTAGGGAGGAGGGAGGAGGAGACAAACAGATTGGGTGAGGGGGAGGCAAGAGCAGAGGGAGACAGAGCCAACTGGGGAAACCAGCAGGCGGGTCGTCCAGCTCAAGCTTTTTCATTTGAGCTTGCATTCTTCTCATATTAAACGCTATGAGGAAATGATTCAGCTAATGCTACCAGCAGGTGTTTTAGGGCTGCCGCCGTCGCAGTGCCACCCACGTATCCCACTCGGCTGCGTGCCTCCGTTTTAGATGCTGGAATAAATGAGTCATGCCGCTAGACGAACTTTACAGCAGACAGAGTTTTGCTCCAGGTTAGAGAAGACAGTGCCTTTGTCTGAAGCGGTCTGACGAGAACCTGCGTCTTTACTATGAACTACGAGAGATCAGGGGAACGGCGGAGGTTCCGTACCATAATCATCCGAGTTAAAGCGATGATGATCAATTTTCATTTTTAAACACAGTCCTAAACCATGAATTCAAAATCAATAGATCGAATCGATTTATCGCCCATCTCTAGAGACAGAGGATGCCCAACATGATGGATAGAACTATGAAACTACTCAGACAGAGGGAGGGAGGAATGGAGCGTTAAAAGGGGATGGGACAAGAAGAGAAAGGAAGAATTCATAGTGGCAGTGAGGATAATTATATGCTGCCAAATGAGAGGTGGGGATCCTTTCATGAAAAATGTCACCAGAAAATCTGAGAACCTTCACTATTCAAACTTCAACATCTTTTCCATGCTAACGGCAAATTCAAAAAGCACACTGTGGGTAGAGAAGATATGATGTCAGCAAATGAAACAACTGAGTGATTATTGGTTGGCTATTTGATTCCTTTACACAGCAACTTTATTGCCATGCTTTTTCAATTACACTCCCCTCCCTCTTTCTTCCCCCTTCTTACTCTGTACCTCCACTGCACCTCTGTACCTCCACAGTGGTGTTGATTACTAAGCATGTTAGGTGGATGGTTAGCATTTTGTCAGTGGTCACACACACACAAACACAGTCTTTCACTTTCCTTTAAATGAATCTTGCTACCTTTTATTATTAGCATTTTGAATGTGATGGGGTCAACGATACCAAAGCTTTTGGATCATTTATAAATAGATAGAGAACAGAAATAACTTAATAACAGAAATAACTTTGCCTCTAAATGAGTTCCCGTTACAGAAAAAAACAACAAAAATGCCCTCATGGGCTGTAATTAGTTGAAATAAAGATTCTGTTTAAGGTTTTCTTTAGACGGTCTATTTAATCCCGGTCCTCAAAGAGCATGGACGACACAAACGAGACAGGATAATCGTTTTGCTAAAGACCCTGAGAGACCCCCCCCAATCGTCATACTCCTTATCTTCACAGACCCACAGTTACGGAGAAAAGCACACTGACAAGACACATCTCGACACTCGCACACATGCACATACACACATTCCCAGGGTCATCCATCACTGAGGCGACCCCCTGTGCTGTATTGTGATTGGATGTCAGGTTGGCCTAGTGTTGCGACCTGTTGGCCTATCGATTTTGCCAGTTAGTGTGGCCTCAGTCGGGGTCAGGATGTTTAGTGTTCTATCAGGCACACATTTACTCTCCCAACACACACAAACACACACATTGCCTGTCTGTTGGTGGTTCACGGTACTAATGCAAACACACACACCACACTTTCCAGTCTTAGCCACTTGGTTTTTAATCGGTGCCTCCATGACATTTTCATTCTACATACGTCTGTTCTATGTCATCTTTTTCCTGAAGTTTCTCTGCTTCATTTTTGCTTCTTTTTCCCCCACTCTTTTTTTTATCTCTTTTTCTCCATCTGTCTCTGCCTCTTTAGCACCTTCTTTTTTATCTTTCTCTCCCACATCTCCCATGTTGTATTTGTTAATCTCTCCCCCTCTTCCTGCAATGTCTCTTCCTGTCACACTCCCCGTCCCCTCCTGTCCTGTTTACCCTGCTCCCTTCTCCTCAACTAAAAACTTTGATGACAAGCCAGCTCCTTGCCTCTCCCTTTCTATCTCTACTCTACCACAATACCACCCCTTTTGTCCATCCCTCCTTACTGTTTCTCTAGTTTATTGTGAACATCAGATAGTTTCATTACACCAGTTTATTCAGCAGCCAGCGGCTACACCACACTCCTTTTCATGGTTTATTGATGCCTGCCGTCTCTTATTTTACCCTCACTTCTTTTCCCTCACTATTCACTCTTTCTATCTATCTCTGCCTCTCTTTCTTTATCTTTGCCTCTCCCCAGTTTACCATAACCATGATTTCAGTCTCACTTGCTTCATTACAAGCTGCTGCTTTTATGGGCCATCTGTAGAACTATCTGCATTTGTCACACACACACACACACACACACACACACACACATGCGCACACACACACACACACACACACATCGGCATACAAGCAGAGTGACACTCTTTCTACCACACACACTCTCGCACACACATAACCATTTACCTGGCTTTTATTTCTCCCTAGATAAGCAATTACAGCAGAGTCCGGTACAGGGAGCATGAGATGGAGTGGGAAGAAGTAAGATGGAATAAAAAATAACTGAGTGGTGGGTAAAAAGTAAGAGCAAAGTTCTAGAAAAAAAGAGAAAATGCTGCCATGCTTTCAGAGTTTTTTAGTGAGACAGATGACACCGCAGGCTGGAGGATTGGAGAGGGGGAGTGAAGGACAGCGATGACATAGGGAGAGAGACAAATAGGGAGACGGGGGAAAGGAAAGAGAGGCAGAGACAGAGAAGGATGATTCAATGAGTTTGGAGGTTTTTGCGCCTCCCTCAGCAGTAACTTCTATAAAAGATGAACCAAGTTTGATAGCGGAACATAATAAATGCTGAAACGTTTGAAAATAATGCATAGGATGTGCAACAAGAAACCATGTACATGGATTTCCATTTACAACATCTGAAAAAGGAATTTCAGAAATTCTTTTCAAGACATTTACCGTGAAAGATGGACGGTTTATAAGGACTGTAAGAGAACCGACGGATGAATCCTCAGAAATGTGTTCTGGGGCACTTAGATATAAGGTTTCATTGGGTGTCATCTTCCCTGTCAGTTTGATTTATTCAACACTTTGACCAACTCTTTTTATAGACGTGTGAAGAACTTGTGTCATAAACCAACTTCAGTCCGTTAAGTTAATTCAATTTAATAGCATAGGTTGCACATCATTTATTGTGGTCAGGTGGCCTCCCACCAACAATGCCAGAGGCAAAAACAGATTTACACAATGTTCATTGATCTTGACAATACTTAACAGTATTTATAATTAACGCTTGGCATTGTGTGAGGTAATCTCTGTGTTTTAAACGGCTCGTTCCAACATTACTCCTCCTTCTGTTGTTCTTTCGGTCTGGATTGTGCCCAGAGTACTTGAAAAATTTGAATTTTTGCAGCAAATGTCTGACAGATTGTATTGTATAACCAATAAAACATCTCTATCTATCATCCAGTTGTCATCTAGAGCTTTCAATTCTCAAAACTTCTAAAAAGTTCAGTTGTGGTTTCAAGAGGTTATATTACAGTTTTAGAGTAGTGGATGAAAAATAAGACATTTTTGAGACAATTTTGCTAACAAGTTGCTGCAGATCTGTCACGCAACTGTCATTCATACAAGGATTCAGGCGATTTCCACACATTCTAACAATGACAGCTCAACAATCACGAATAGGATAATATGGAATTATTATACATGGCTGTGTGCTTTTTAATATGAAAAGATTAATGCCAAGATGAGACATTCCCCCTTTGAAATTTGTGACACCTTTCTCTACAAGAGCGTTACAGCATTAAATATAAAATGCCACTGGAAAGCCCATTATTAAGGATCATGCTATGCAAACGCTGAGCAAAAAGAGAGACTGATATGAAGGAACTAAGGAAGGAATGCAGCCTTATTTCAAACCAACAAACACTAAACACGTGTGTTAAACTACTGCATGAAGATAGAAAAAAGGGGCCAACTAAAGCGGAGTTTCCAGATTAGTCACTGCTTGATAAGAGTAGTTTGGGCAGAGAGCACTTCCCTTTATTGTTGATGATAACACACCACTACACAACAAGAGGCCAGGCAAGAAATGCAGTAATGCAAGTGGTACAACAAGCACTCGGTTGCTGGCCTCTTTCAAATACCATCATCCACAATCCAATGAGAGGAACAGCAGGGGTTGAGACTACGAACTCTATTCCCGACAAATTCCCTTTGAGTCTTGAGTCGACTCCCTGTGGCGAAGCAAGGCAGAAGCACCAGCAGCATATCGT